TTTTCTTCTGTGCCCGGAGCTTAACCAACCTTAATCCTTTCACTCTTATAGGATTGCTGCCTCTGTTCACCCCGTTGAAGATCATCTTTAATTAAAAGATTTTTTAAAAATTTGCAAAAGAATTTTACCTTTCTTTGTTTATTTTTACCTTTTTAGTTTTATTATTGTAATTTTTATTTTTTATTTATTGTTTTTTCGGGGATTATCTCCATTGTCTTGTGACATTGCCAATGTTATTTTGTAATAAAAAAAATAAAGAATTTCAAGCAGATATTACATCAAATTATAGGATATGATTTAACTGTCAAGAATTAACATAATTTAAAACTAAAAAATAGTTTAAATTATGATTTTTATTACACAATTTTGTTTCATAACGACCGGTAATTTTAGTTTTTCATCACACAAATTCTAGTTTCGAACATAATCGAATGTTTTATACACATATAATTTATTATTACGTATATATTTTCTATACAGTTTTTATTGAGACCTATATTTGATTTTCCATTTTGAACTTTTTAAACACAATTGTGAGTAATAAATAATAAATAAATGGTAGAAATTCGTAAAGCGTAAATTGAAGATTTATTTAACAAATAACAAGTTTTTATTTGTTTAATTTGTTGTATTAATAAATAGCTCCAATGAACAAAATGGTATATTGAGAATTCATTATTGTAGTTTTTCTAATATATAATAAAGATGAGATCTTTGTTTCTTGTTTTTATTGTGTCAGCATTCCTGAAGAAGAATGTGTAGATGATCTCAGGTTCATGTCTGATCTGTTGATCAGACATGAACCTGAGATCATCAGGCTTTCCACCTGGGTTTTCTTCATGTATCTAAAAACCTAAATAGGAGGCAGTTTTCCGATAGGAAGTCCTCCCGGAAGGCATCCTCCCTTGGTAGATCGCCCATGTATTGCTATCCCATCGATCCGATTCAATCTTTATTATTTTATTTTCTCCACCAGGTCAATTTACTATAATAAGTCTATTATATCTTTTTAATAACTAAAACTACTTTTGTTCACTTGCTGTAATCACAAGTTTTTTTTAACCAACAGTATGTCTCAAACAAAAATAAGCCGAATTAATCATGATATAGCCTTTATTAAATTAAAATACATTATAAAATGCTTGCCTTTATTGCAATAAAACAAAACTGAGACGACATAAATCTAATTCATTCTTGTTTTCCTGTTTTAACTTATCAAAGATAAGCTTATAAAATATCGTCCATGCATTGTATTTCCTTTTCGCATCAATTAACTGATTGATGGGAAAAGGCAATGCAAGACATGGGCGATCTGCCAAGGGGAATGCCATCCGGAGGACTTTCCAAGAGAAACTACGCGCTTATTTAGGTGTTGAACAGGAAAAGAAAATCCGAAAAACTCTACTTAGTCAGCCTAATGATGAGGAACGAACGGAATTTTTCAGGTTTTCTTCCAGCGTGTAACTCCTAAAAAGGAACCAGTTTTTCAATGTCGCTATCCACAGTTTTAACTATTTAACTTGTTTTTTTTTATCAAGTTATTAAATCTTGCAACCCAAATTTCATCCACTTCTAATTAAGATATAAGACTGAAACTTTAAGGGACGTACCGATGACAATGCATTTTATTGATGTTTTAGGAGGTGGCCCTACCCACACAATCCTCCCCACACCGAAATTCGATAAAAAAAAAATAACCAAAAATAAATTAAAAATTATTTTACTGACATTAACTTGATAAAAGAATGTTGCTTATTAAAATCATTCACGTGTACGTTTTCTAAGCGTATAAATAATTTTATAAGATTGAAAAACTTGATTAAAATAGGTCAAAATGAGTTTTCAGGTAAAAGAGACACGTGTTTATTTTCTATAATTTGTGACCTTATTATTAATGAAATAATTTTAAAACAAAACAAAACAAAAGGACAAATAGTTTTTAANTACATAAATTATTTTTAAATCTATTTGAATATGTATGCGTTCAAAAACTGTTTTAGAAATAATATCCATTTTATGTTCATACCGTTTTTGATACCTCTTCAGAATAATTATACTGAGTGATCTCGTCCTTTTGACATAGCAGCATGTTGATATGCATATAATAAGCATGTAAACAAATGCATATTAATAGTAAATATGCATAATATACATAAGAAGAAACCAAAAATAAATAATACTAAATTAAATGAAAAAATCCAATCTACCATTGATTGCATAAGAAGTTGAAGAAATTTTTGTTTTTGTATTGAAAATAGATACTATGTTGAAGGACTTCTAGATCTTGTAATATAAGAGAAATTGTAATATATATTTTAAAATGTTTACTTTTTCTAAGGTATGAAAGCATTAAAAAATTATTCAAGAATTGTTTTTAAAAAATTATCTCACGTATAAAAAAATTTTTCAATAATTTTATTAAATTTTTGTTATGTATTGTATTTTTAAAATTTTTTCTTGAGTTTACTCTTGGCAGATTAAAAAAATTTTAGCAATTAGTTGCTTAACTTTCCTAGCAATATTTGATGGTACCATCTGTTTTTATATTTTTAACTAAAATATCATAAATTTTTAAATATTACAAAATGGTAAAAAGCTTCATTTTGAGGGTAGGAATGGGTGTTATAAAAAATTGTAAATGCTAATAATAAGTAAAATTGCATTGTCTGACCCTACTGGAGATACATACAACCCCCATTATCTCCCTATCCCTTGATCTTTAATCACCAAAATTTAATGGCATTAATCCCCTAATACACAAACCTCCCCTGCAAAATTTCAGAAATTTTTGACAAAAAGCACAATAGTTCTTAAGCTTCAAACTCTGAACAAACTCATGCCCCTTCCCCCCACATACACTAACAACATCCATTCATACAGAAATCACCCCATGAATTTTTTTGCATTTCAATGTTTCAAGGTCTGGAGTCCAAAAATGTAAAAATCTGGGAGGTCATTTTTTGACAGATTGCCATACTTTCCCTCTGTTATATATATAACAGCTAGGAAAGTAAAAATTAACTTTAACTTTTGAAAAAGAAAGAAATAATTTAAAATGAAACTTTTGTATTAAAAAAATCCCCTTTTTCTTATTACATATATATTTAATATATTTTTTATGCATTGATGTGTATGAATTCTGTATCCATTTTTGTAATGATATTGTCTAATATTGCTATATTTTTTTCAGTTCATCATTCCTGACATTTAATCTGAGAGTTATTGTGATAGCTGTGCATAGCACTTTTAAAAAATTAGAATTTTTTTTTTCTTTGTCATGTCATGTTAATTTTTCACAAGTATTATAATATGAAGTACAGAATATACATTTCATATCAATGTGTGATATTCTATATATATTTGAAAATATTTTTATGTTCAGTGCATTGCATTGTTAAAAAGAATTGTTTTTAAGATATTTTATAAATAAAGATGATTATTTAATTAAAGTACAGTAGTGCATCGATTATCTGATCCCTGATCAACTGTCACATCGGTTAACTGACTGCGTTCTAGTCGGCAAATTCAAATGTCCGCTAGTGATGTGGTGCTACAATATTTAGCTATATCTTGGCTACTTTAATATTATTTTTGTTAAATTTTGCATGTTTTAGCTGGCAACACTCTCGACCATGAAAGGGAGGCCACTATTTAAACGAGGCTTAATTTTCTAATTTTTAACGATACAATAGCAACGATTATTATTAAAACATTTTTTTGTTAGGCTTAACATCAATGAAAGTTCAACACGAAGTAGGTTAATAGTGATATACTGATATACTAATATACTATGCTAATAATGTATTTTTTCATACTTTTCGGTTATCCGTTTTTTTCAGTTATCCGACCATCCCCAGTCCCCAATTGAGTCGGATAATCGATGCTCTACTGTAAAATAATAAAATATTACATTTCCAAAAAGGAAGACAAATGGCTTGTTTTCCTTTTTCATTTTTGCTTTTAATGACAGTTTTCTTGCAGGATAGATGATCTCAATGGTTAAGATGATATTTTGTTGTATATTACATTGTAGAAAAAGTTTATATTTTGTGAATTAAAATGTTAAGAAATTGACATAAAATCATATTTAAAATATCGGAAACTTAGCAGTTTAAATTGCACAATGCCAAGCTGTAATTTTTGGTCATAATTTATTTGAAAATAAATTTTTTGTATCTGGTTTCAATTTTCATGTATTTAACTTGATCCTTGAAAATTTGAATTGAAATCGTATTACCCTCTGGTTCAGACTGAAGTTAATTGGGGCTTCCAGCCCCTAAACTTTTCATATCTGATATCTATTTTCATTTATTTAACTCTGTTCTAGAGATTCATCTGTTTGTCCATCCTTCATTACTGTTGGAATGTATAATTCTACAATTTGAAAATTGCAACCCAATTCAGAATAAACATAGATTTTATTTTTATTACAGAAATAACACAATACATCTTATTTCACATTTTTTTTTTATTGAGTAGTTAGTGTATTAAAATATATAAATAGCTAATGATATAAGTTAAAAATTTTTTAAGTTATTAGAAGTACAAAACATGTCACATTTTATACACATCATTATCATCATGAAATAAATTATAGAAATTTTTTTAAGTCATTTTGATTATATTGATTTCAAAAGTGTATTTTCCTCTTTTAAAAACATTCTTCACTGTGGTAGATTTATATTACAGGTTTATTTCATAAACGTGCAAAGTTGATATTTCTTGGACTGGACAATGCTGGTAAAACAACTCTATTAAGTATATTGAAAGATGATCGAATGGTACAACCTGTGCCAACTTTACATCCTAGTAAGTTAAAACTTAAATTTAACAAAACGCATGGTGTGTTTTGCTGCTAACATTTTATGCATTTTGAAACTGCCATTTGATGTTTATTGGCAAAGCATGATATATCAAAAAATCTCAGCATCTGTCCATCACATTATATTAATTTTATGCTCTTCCTCCTTTTCACTGTTGTTGCCATTTAATCTCACTGCATGATTTTTCCTCCTTGCATGTCCAGGATTATGGAAAAAGAGTGGTAAGCTGCTGTTTCTTGGTCTTGATAATGCTGGTAAGACAACCTTATTACATATGTTAAAAGATGATCGAATGGCTCAACATGTGCCTACATTACATCCTAGTAAGTATATCATTTATTATTAATCATTGCCTTAACTGTTGACAATGTAGCTTTTTCTCTAACATTTCTTTTCAATGGCATGCTTTCTAATAATTCTAGCTTAATAACAGTCATTAAATTTATTTTTAGAAATCAAAATTCCATAATTAAACTAAATTTTAAATTAATCATTTTTTTTTTTTTTTTTTAAATAAATACAAAACTTTTGTTTACTTTATTGCTGTTATGTTTTTTTAATTTTAGCATCAGAAGAATTATCCATAGGAAATATGAGATTTACAACATTTGATTTAGGAGGGCATCATCAAGGTAAGAATAAGTTTATCTAATTTTTAGTTTTTAAAATTTAATTTAATTTTTATATTTCAACTGAATATTATATTTATTAGCGAGAAGAGTTTGGAGAGATTATTTTCCAGCTGTTGATGCTATAGTATTCTTAATAGATGCATGTGACAGAGAAAGATTTCCAGAGTCGAAAGTTGAATTAGATGTAAGTCAGAAAGTTCTTCTATATATATGCTAAACATTTCGTTTATAACCTTTTCTAGTTATTACTTTTTAGAGTCTACTAACAGATGAGCAGTTGGCTAATTGTCCAGTTCTGATACTTGGAAATAAAATTGATAGACCTGGTGCAGCTAGTGAAGATGAGCTAAGAGGTTATTTTGGTTTATATGGACAAACAACAGGAAAGGTTAGGACCTGAATATATTTGTTTTTAGACTTCCATTTATACATTCCTCAACATTGAAATTGCAGTGCCATGAAAAAAATGTAGAGTTATGAAATTTACAGGAAAGATAGAGGTGTCTGATAAATGTAATTGATCAAAGAAATGAACATAAAAGATGCCAAATAAGATCATTTATTTAAGCATCATGCTGGTAAGACAACCTTACCACATATACCACATGCAACAATACAAGCCTCTATATGCTGCACATACTAAAACAAAGTTGGCAGTGCTTAGGATAGAAACATGCAGAATTTTACGTGAGTGCACAAAACATTCAGATCGGAAGCTAGAAGCTTCTGGTGCAATTGTCGACTGGTGAGGTCCCACATACTTAATGATTATAAGTTTTAGAGGCTTTGGATCATGTTGTCATGACCATATACAGATTGTTCATAGAAACATGAACCATATGTAAACAGGTGTTGTCTTGCTGGAAGATGGCACTGAGAACATCTTCCAAAAACAGTTTTTTACTACAGGATCCAAAAATCAAATCAATATATCCTCATGTTGTCAAATGTCAGGAATGAGAGATGCTTACCATATTTTATTATCTCCATACCACATTCTTAATGTTGGGACACTTTAGTATTCCTTGATAAAGGCTTCATCATAGTTATAGGATGTTGCTCCTAAACAATTGGTTCTTAAACTTTTTAAAGAGATAGAAGTACCCTTTCTTTATTAAAAAAATTAATCTTCAACACTTTCTGTAAAATGCATACCAGCCTACATTTTTTTTAAAATGTATTTTATTGTAATACAGTGAAGATTTTCTTATTGTTTTCTGAAAGTACACAATTACATTTTGTACTAAAGTAAAATTAACATATGAAGATAATTACTTTTTTAAATGAAATCAAACTTTGATAGAAATGAAAATGAAATCAAACTTTTGATAGTAATGACTATATTTCAGCCTTAATCATAATAATTTTCTTTGTGTCCCACTAAAGAGGCACATCCTACAGTTTTGAGATTGAGAACCACTGCTTTAAACCACACTCTAATGAATTCCCCTGCTACTTAAGTCAGAACAATTCTAATCAGGGATACACAACCTTTCCTGAAGAAGGGCCAGGTTAGGATTAAATTTACTAACCAGGAGGCCACAACCCACAAGGAGTCTAATTACTTTAGCCATGGGCAGTGTTGATAATCACGGGAAGTTTATGGCTTGACGTGGTTTGAAATAATTATTAAATCCAAAACTTTTTAGTGCAGTTGGCTTCCTTTTTATCCAGTGGTTCTGAACCTTTTTTTTTTTTTTTTATTTTAGCCATGGACCCCTTTTCCTCCTTTTTTTTTATGTGGACCTCTATAGACACTGCAAAAAAACTTACAATTCCTTTCTTTTTTATTAGTGAAAATAAATAAATATATGTATTTACCTATTTCTTTACATATATATATAAAATCTCTTTTTGACCTTTTTGTCAATGAGATATTTAAAATATTGAATATGTTTATGACATATATATAATTTATATTTTTTTTAACCCTTATGCAAGAAATGAGTAATAAAGAAAGTAAAACAATTGTTCTGAAGTAGAATTACCCTATAGACCCCTAAAATATCACCGTGAACCCCAATTTGGTATTTTTTTTTCTGTGGACCCAGTTGAGAACCACTGTTTTAGTTGTGTGACTCTATTCCAACTATTAATTTTCTTGGTCCAATATAATAATTAAAAATTTTTGGTGTGAAAAAAATTTTGTCAGATGTTAATCCATGGAGAGACATTGTTGTAAATAATTGATTGCTATAGCTTTTGTACATTCCTTTTTGAGCTCTGATTGGTTTTTTTTCTAGTTTGAATTACATTAGGTTGATGAATAAGTGTTTTTTCAGAAAAGATTGATTCAAATTTGAATCAATCTTTTCTGAATATACCAATCAGAATCTAGAATGTAAACAACTGCTAAAAATTCATTATTTTCATGGTTTTTCAGTGCTATTTTCACTTATTTAATGCTATTTAGATGAATAAGCAAGTTTTCTGAAGCATAAAATTGAAAATTTTCCACCAAAATAGAAACTTCCTGAAACACCGGAAATGACGTTCTAACATCACTTATTCGTAATGATTTTTATAAGAATCAAATAGATATAGAATATTTTAAGTCTAATACATAATATCTAAACCAGAAAGTGTGTTAGCTAGAAACAGACCAACTTCAAAACTCCCATTTCTTACCTCCCAAAGTCATAAAACAGTTAGGTGCTAATGACTTTGTGAAAGGGAAAAGTTCTATACTTGTTTAGGAGAGGAAAAACTTAGCTATCTAACAGATTAAAAAATTTTTCAATTTGAAGCAAATTCTTTTTTTGCCCAGTACATAGCAAAGTGATTTTCGTGGGAAAGTTTTATGGCCAATTGTTTCAGATAAAACATTAGTGGTTTTATTAAATAGTCAATTGACATGAAAATTAGAGCTAAAAGAACAGAAAATATAGCTACTTTAGTTCGTTTGTTTACAAACCCTCTTTGATGAGAGCTCGAGTGGGTGTGATATTGGCAATTTTCCCAAGCATCAGATTCTCGGTTACTTTTATTGGATAAAGCCAAGTCTTTCAAGCCAGAAAGCGTCAATCTGAGCTTAAAAGATGTAAGTAATAATTTTATTGACCAATGAAGTGGAAAAGGTTCTCCATAGACTTAACACAGGAAGAGTTTGTTTCACTGCATTAAAGTAACAGGACCCACATCGAAAGAGTAATAGACACATTTGAAAGAAGGGATTTGGCCTGTACCTTCCGTGGGCCGCATAAACATTGAAAGGGAGGCCTTATGTGGCTCCAGGGCTGCAGGTTGTGTATTCCTGCATTAATGAACAAAACTTGCCTTTATATCTAATACTGTTTGTTCCTACATCAAACCAGGCATTGGATATGTTGCTGTAGTATTAATGATATGCTTTCAGCAGGCCAAAATATCTTGAGAGAGGCTAGATGCTAACACAAATATCCCCTAATTGTGTGATCAATTTCAGCATTAGTGTGCTGTGAATGATCTCTGATGATTGCAGCAGCAAAGATGGTCATTATAGTGGATTGAAAAAAGAATAAATTTTGGAATTTAATCAAAGAAGAATTTTTAAAAAAATTGTTGTTCCTTTTTTATATCAAATTTGCAAAATTATGTCAATTTTTACAAGAGCAATTTAGTTTTTATTTTTGAAAAATTACTTTGGACCATGTTCTTCATCTATATTATGACATCATCATCCTAGAGCAGCGATTCTCAACCTTTTTTTTTTCGTCACTACACTTTTAATAATTTAAAAATTTGACAGCAAACACGGTTACTTCGGTAAGTACCACAGGACAACCGATGAAGTCATAACAATGATTTTTTTAAAAATGTGGTTGGTTATTTAGGTCACATTTTCCAAATGCCTTGGTAACTACAGGCAGTTACTGGTAACACCAGTTACAATTTTCCAAACAAGCCCTAGGAAGGTAGAACCAATTGAACTACTAATCTGATGTCACTTATGTACAGGGCAGTGATTCTCAACCACTGCGAATACTCAGAGTATAGATTCTTTGCAATACTTCAGTCACAAGTTTAATGTACAGTAGAACCTCGATTATCCGACCCCCGATCAACCGACCGTCCTAGTCGGCAAATTTCAAATGTCCGCTAGTGATGTGGTGCTACAATATTTGGCTATGTCTTGGCTACTTTAATATTATTTTTATGTGTTTTAGCTGGCAACACTCATTCGACCATGAAAGGGAGCCAGTATTTAAACAAAGCTTAATTTTCTAATTTTTAACGATACAATAGTGACGATTATTATTTTAAAAAATTTTTGTTAGGCTTAACATCGATGAAAATTCAACGCAAAATAGGTTAATAGCGATATACTAATTACATGGGATATAATAATATACTACACTAATAATGGATTTTTTCATACTTTTCGGTTATCCGACTTTTCAATTATCCGACCAACCCCAGTCCCCAATTAGGGTGGATAATCGAGGTTCTACTGTATTTGTCTGTTCTTTTGATGCAATATGAGAATTTCATCACAAAAGCTTACATTTAGACAACTCTTTTGTCAGAACTTCAAGACGGGCAGGTAATCTATGTTAATCTTATTGTAATTGGTTGAATGAGATGCTGTTTTAAATATTGAATGGCATTGTATCTATACAGTTCTTCTACTCCATATTTTCTTCAATCTTAAGGTGATTTTCAAATAAATTAAATTTGATTTCTGAACACACTAATCTTTCAATGTTTTAGGGTAATATTCAGTGACAACTCATAAGCACCTGCAGCATCTCCTAAATAAAAATTGTGACATTTATTTTGCAATTTTATTTCATAGTACTGTAATTATATAAATTTTTCATGGTTTAATTTTAATTATCAAAACTAGTAATGAAATAGACTAGTTTTGATAAATTGTTTTAATTAATATCTAATTTTGGAATTCAGCATTAATTTTAATTTGTTTTCTTTTTTCTGTGCTTTCTCTTTTGATATTTATAAGTTTGCATTCTTCTCTGCAAGCCATTTTGTGCACTATATTAGTTATACTCTTTTTTTAATATCAGTTCAACATTTTTAGCAACTACTTTAACAATTTATATATTGTATTATTCAGAGTGATAGTGATTTGTAACTTTTCAGGAATATCAGCTGCAGTACCAAATAAACAATATTTCACCCCTTTTTTTCTTATAATCTTCAGCTTTCTTTCTTATTGCTTTACAATGATCAATTTTCTTTTTTCTACTTCTTTGTTGAATGATTGTTTATTAGAGGAAGATAGAAACTAGAACCATACTATTCCTGCAGACTCTTATGAGAGTGTCTCACAGAACTCCAGTCCTGTAGTCAGGAATAAATCATTGAGGAGGCTACAGGGCAAGCTGAAAAATTGTGACTTGTATTTTACTCTCTTCCAGCTAGCACTAGCCCTATTGACTATAGTCAAAGTGTAAAAAAAGTAACAAATCTAAATGTATATGATGAAAGCAAAAAATATATTGTATATGGGCACTTCTAAGATTTAGCCACATTTTTTTATAGCCTCCTGTAGCTGGCTCTGGTAAGCTTCAAATACTTTTATGGTTGTATTCACCAACCAACCAAATCTCAAAATGCAATTCACATGATCCAAGGTTCAATCAGTCTGAGCCATGTCTTCTATTATACATTCATATTTACCATGTTTTATTTAATGCTAGCTTAACTGATTCTTCTCTCAAATCAAATCGCATCAATCCTAACAAAATTCATTTATCAAAACAGATTAAGATTTTGCCATGTATTTGCCACAGTTTAAAGGAAAGAGCTCTCTTTAGTAATTGTTAACTATTCTAGCAGCTTTATTATTGAAAAAAAAATTCTTTGCCACTAGTAGTAATTTATCATCAGAGCCTATTCAAAAATACAAGAACATTTATAGAGAACAAAGAAAACAAATGCTGTATCAAAGTATAAACTGTACTGACTTGTTCCTTCTCACTTTGAAGCAGATATATATCTGGCAACTTATTACTCAGCAGCAGTTGGCTAACCAGCTTATTCAAAAACACTTAAATTGAAGAGCAATTAATAATTGCTCCTATCTGGTGATAAACACTTCATTGTAAACTTCCCTCAAAAGTAACAGAAGTTTTTCACATAAACAACAAATCAAATCTCTGTTTAATCAATATCTAATTTGGAATTCATCATCTAAAAAAATATTCCATTCAGAATCAAAAAAATTTAAAGTGATGGTGACAACAACCATATATAGGTTATTATTATTAATTAGATGAATTTTTAATATTACATAAATTAAAATATCCATGTCCTCCATCTTATTTATTCAGTTAAATTTTACTTATGTATGCATTAAGCAAAAAGCTGAAAGTGCATTGAGATTTAAGTTGCAGTTATTGACAATTTGAACCTCAGTTCATTTTCAATAACTTCAGTTTTGAATTACGTTATGGTTAATATGAAAAATGGGTTAAAATGCAAATCGTTGTTAAACTCATTGTGATGAATATATGACAATCAAATTATTGTATATCCTTTGCACACACCTTGATTGAATCCTGGAAGATAATGAAAACTCAAATAGCTTTTTCAGGTGCTGAACCTTAATATAAATTGATATAAATTTGCACACTTTTTACATGAAATGACAACTGACTTTTACTTGGCTCTAGTGAAATTTGAAAATCACTCCACTCTAGTGATCACACACTGCCATGTTCCTGATATATTGATTTTTTATTCTGAGGTTTGTCTTCATGTAACATACAGCATTGCTTAGTATCAACATTATAGCCCAAATGATTGTCAATAGTGTGTGGTGACAAATTGATCATCTTCAGTTTTGATAATCCTGTCGTGTGTGCTTGTGATCAGATGTAGTATACCTTGTCATCACACTCTGGGCATATTATAAGCATCTGACAAGTCATTCTGCATTTCTTTTTTACATTTTGAGAAATTCTTGCACTGTTTTAGTATGTTATCTATGTCACCATTCACTGTGATTGCAAATGATCAGTTTTTTTTCTCTGAATTTCATAATTCTGCACCTTTTTTCTTTCATAGTGTTGCAATTTACAATTGAGGAGTGTATCTACAGCTGTAACCATTAAGTTTATTTTTATTAAAATTTTTTCAGGGAAAACTTCCAAGATCAGAATTACCTGGTCGCCCACTAGAATTATTTATGTGCAGTGTTTTGAAGAGACAAGGTTATGGCGAAGGATTCAGGTGGCTTGCCCAATATATATGATGATTTAAAACTAAATCTATAGATTACCCACCATCAATAACTATTCAGTAAATCCATTCTTGTTTTATAAGACTATAATTATATATAGTATTATGATGCAAAGGAATCTTTTCTCGAGACTTCCATTATTTCTGCATATTTTGATTTTTTTTTGTTTTTCCTTAAAAATCAATTTGTATTCTCAGGATTTTCTTCAAAAAATGACAATACTCTAATGAAAATGAACTTTGTTTTTCTTTAAAAAAAATTGTAAACTCAAATTTTAAAACAATTAATATGCATGTTTATTATTTTTCTGCACAATAAGTCCAATTTAACAAGCTTTTGTTGCATGTGGAATGTTCTCTTTGCATCAGTTTGGCTGTAACAAAAACTTGGAGAGATGATGATAAAATTATTTATAGGGGGAAATAAATATTTGTATAATCTTGTTTTTTCTGTTTTGTGCATGCCAATTTATTTACATTTGTGTTAATGTTACCAAAGCAAATAACACTGTACATAGGACATTTTCCCTTCTGGGCAAAAATTTTTCCATAATAAATTTTGTTTTATAAAGTGAGTTATCCATTATTCTGTTTAAAACTAAAGGAAATAACTGACTTTTTTACAATAAAAGTTCAGTACTGTTTTTTATCCTGTGAACAATCTATAAGGTTTGGAATGTAGATCAAATTTTCAAAACATTGAGGTTAGAGGTGCAGTTTTTATATCTTCAGTCTTATCTGAAATTGAATGAATTAATACAATTTACTCATCATAAAATGAATGTGACTCTATTGAAAAGGACATCACTTGATATAAGAAAACTGGCATTAATATTTCCTAATGAGGAATTTTTTCAATATACCATAAAGCTATTGTGAACAGAGTTGGGATAGACAATTTTAGCTATTTAAAATATTTTGAACATACTGTATACTTAAAAATTTATTTAGGTTATTTTTGTGGTTACAATCTGAGTTTTGAAACACCAGATATTTAAAAAACAATATTTCCACATGCCTGGATTTTCCAAAAATTAAAACAAAATAGCAATTTTAAGTTCTCATTACAAATTTTGCTTGTATTTTTTTGTGTGAAAATAAAAATTTTGAATAGAATAAAATCTCCTTTTTGTATTTGGTATTAATTTATTTATCAGAAAAATTTTTTAAAAAATAGTGAAAAGTTTTTCACCCCCTCTTTCAATCCCATAAGCACCAAGGGGGGTTTCCCTTCCATACTCATGGATTTGTGTCAGGATCCCCAAAAAATATGAGGTTGCCCGAATTCAATCCTGGATCCCCAAAACAGTAGGCTGACATCTTAATCACCTTGGCCATGAAGTTTGGCATAATATCTTTCAATGAAAATTCTATTAGTCATTTGGAAAAATGTTTTTAAATATTTTACATTCTAGTCACAAAACTAGAATTGAAATGTGTCATTTATATTTCAATACTTTGTTGTAATTTGGGCTACTTATTTTAAAATGAGATGTCATTACTAACTGAAGTGTTTTTTGAACATTAAAAATCTTTTTATCTAAGAAAGCATCCAAGACACTTAAAACATTTGTGAGCAACCTGTAGCTCATGGGGGTTTAGAAACAATTTTTTGTTTTCTGCCTTGTGCCATTATGCAACTCTTTTTAAGCTGATATTCATGATAAAAATTTGAACTAAACTTGACCAGTAAAAAAGATGATTTATTCTTATCTTTTTACTGTTCAAAGTCCTATATTATTAGTGCACATTTTAGTAGCTAGTGTACTGTGGTTATCAAATACATTTGTACTCAGCAGATTTAAAAGCTTAAAATTCTATAAGAAAAATGCATGTGACCTGTCAGAAGCCTACAAAGTTCACTTGTGGCCCAACATCCAGAAGAGGTTCCTCATCACTGCTTTTATTATAGAAGGGACAGTTTTCAAAGTTTTGTCAAATTTTAACATATAATCTAAAAATCTATGTTTATATAATGAAAGCAAGACCAAAAAAAATCACATGACAATTTTTTAACTTGTAGATCATAATTGTTTGATTCCCTCTGATCTTCATGCTTTGAGAAATTTTATCTACTTTCCAATCGGTATTTTATTTCTGTAATAATTATTATTATATTTTTGAGAATAGGAAAAACTAAGTTTTTTTAAATCTTTTCATTGTATTAAATTGGAAAAGAAATCAGGCTGTATTTATATTAAAAATATCTTCCCTAAATGTCCAAAATGTTGGTCAGAATTGGCAAACATGAGCTTCCAACAGGGTTTAATCATTTGAAAAATAACCAAAAAAACAAACAAAGTAGGTTAGTGTATTTATTTTGTATCTGAAATTTAGAAAATAAAATTTTAGCTTTTTAAATGCAACTTGCTGATTTTAATTTCAAAAAATAAACAATGTAATAATCTTTTAAATGGGAGAAATTAAAACTTGCATTATTATTATTGTTATAATAATTTGAAACATATATTTAAAATATTCAGCTACTATCAAAACCATTTTTTAAAAACATATTTCTGTAATCTAAAGATTAGGAAAATAAAACATCAAAATCAAATATTGAAAATTTCTTCTAATATATGTCAGCTTCTTAGTATTTAAATGAGACCAAATGATAGATTTTTAGTACAAGTCTTGACAAAAGATTTACCAATGACAACTAACTTGTCAAATTTTTTTTCTTCTTCTTTTTATTGAACTTAAAATATAAAGCATTTTTAAGTGATTATTTCCAGATAAGCGACTATGCTAAAAAATAGTAATATTTAATTCATAAAACATTGGTTTTCAGTATATAATATTATTTAAAATTAGAGAATATCCACNTAATAATCAGTGTCATAAACATCTTATATTTACAAACAATAACAAAAGCACCTAAATGGGTGTGTTATCACAACAAATGTTTGTGATTTTTAGATGAAAATTATTTTTTGATTTCTAACAAGTTTAATGTGCCCTTTAAAGGAGAAGGAGTCTTTAAAGTATATAATTAAATACTATGAAGAAGTTAATTCTTAGAAGGCAAATGTGTACTTAGTTGTATTTTTGAGATTTCATTAGTATATGCGTCGATACTTACTTTATCATAAAGAACAAAGTATATTTGTTTTATCGAACTGCTCATAACGGCTGCAAAGTAATCGGCAACAGTTTGCAATATTATTTGCGCAGCTTCTCTCTTTGGAAAACCAGCACTAGAAGAAAAAATTATTTGTAAAGTTTAATAAATAAATCCAGTAATGAAACATTTTATAAATAATAAATTACGTTCCGCTTCCAATGGATGGTAAAGCCAAGGATTTTAAATTATTTTTATCGGCTATGGCCAGACAATTTTTTATAGTTTTTTTTAGTGTGTCTATGGCAGAACTGTCATAACGAGACGGTCCAAAGCAATGAATTACATGCCCTGCCATAAAATTATAACCGGAACAAATTTCAACTGAAAATATTTAAAAAAAACTGTTATAAAATATTGAAAAAATAAAATTTAGCAAGTAATATATTTAAATACCTCCTGTTTGTTGTAAAGTGGTTTTGGATCTTAACTTATCTATTTCTTCTTCAAATTTCTTTCCACCCACTTCCATTAGTCTTTTGCCTGAAAAGAAACTCAAATTATTTTTAAATGTTTTTAAAAATGTAATAGAACATTGTTAAATTCTCTCACCAACTTGTCCTCCCATATAAAATTTATTATTTGTGGGATTCACAATAGCATCTGTTGTTACATCAGTAATATCTCCTTGAATTACTGTCAACTGAGTAAATATAAATGGGCCAATTTATCATTCAAGCTTTATTTTTATTATGTAAAACTTTGAATAAACCTTTTGTCCTAAAAAGAGTTGTTTTTCCGATAACACTGTAACCGTTGGCATATTGCCCAATTGGCATTTTCTCACATTATCTTGCGGCAACTGGATGGAGAAAACAATTATCTTGGAAATCAAGTTAAACCAAACAAAAATGTGTTTTAATAATGAAAAAATACTCACGATATTTGATTGGAGCACCACAACCGGATTTTTCATGGGTATGGTTTGCTTTTTTACAGGAACACCTTTCTTCTTTTTCACTGGAATTTTATCTTTCTTCTTTGTCTGAGTCTTTGCCTTAGGAGTCAAGTCTAGAGTGGAATCTTTTCTGGCTAATTTTTGTTTCAACACTACACTGCTCTTTATCAAAAATGCATAATCCGGAACAAATCCTGCAGATGGAATCATAACGTCCTTCAGCATCTGTAATCCCATAAAATGCCAAATTATTGATTTATGTATGTAAATTCTACAACAGAAAATCACAAGAACAGACATACTCACTCACTTCTCTGATCTCGGCATCATTAGCAATTGCTAAAAGAATATGGCGAGGATTTAGTCTCTTCTTCATATTATCTCTAGCTGCATTTCCTGCCAGTTCAAGAATTTCAGCTATCCAGAATAAATGAATAAAATTTTAAATAAAAAGTTTTCGTATATTCAAAGAAAATCTTGACACATTTTAGATGGCAGAGGCTACATTTGGTTAGATGGAAAGTTGACAAATTGTTCTCTAGTTTATGCTCATTAACTGTTCATTTATAGTGAATATAATTGTTTATATTAAGGATGCTTAGCTGCTATTAGGAAATTCAGTTTTTTTGCTACTTATGGGTTAAGAGGACGCCAGTCGGAAATAGCGATCAAAGTCGCGATTTTGAATGAAAATATCAAAATAACAATAGACTAGTAAATTTAAATCTAAAAAATAGTAAATTTACTGATAAGGTTGTAAAAATGAAAAAATACCAATTAGGATGATTATAGATATCACCTATTTGCCATATTTGCTGTATACACTACAAAACAATTTGCATATTCAAGTGGTTTATTATTAGAATTTGTGAGATTTTGTTATATCTTTATAAATCGTAATTATTGTTTAATTTAACAATTGTATTAAATTTGACAAATAAAAAAATTGCATTATTCGGAATAAACGCTATTTTTGACTGGCGTCCTCTTAACCCATAAGTACCGTTTTTTAAAAAATACATTTAAATTTACACATAAAACAGGCAAAAATTAGGAATCAACAGAAAAGATCCGTCGCTCTCTAGAGGAACGAGTTCGAAGTCAAATTACATCGATTGAACCTAACCAGAAATCCAAAACGCACTAAAGACATTAATTTAGTTAAGAGAGTGCTTACTAAGCACGAGAAGTTTCGTTGATTTGCGATGAAAAGTAATGCCGTCTTTAATTTCCAAATTGAACCCCCATTTTTTAGCTTTGTTTCACTCTCTCCATGCTGACGTCATTGTCATTAATTTTAATTATCTTCATTTTCTCTACATTCAAGTCTTCTATCATCATCTATATTCTTCCTCATTCAAAAACTCCGGCATAAGTGCAAACATACGTCATTTTTACGCATTTTATCTAAATTGACCATCGCGATAAATCTCGTAAGTTTGGATCAATGTTCCCTCTAAGCTGCGCGGCCATGCACTGCTCAAATTGTTGCCGCACACGAGAATTTATGTGCCGCGCAGGCGAGCATGCACACCAATTTGAATTGTTGTTTACTTATTTCTCACTCTGTCTGCAACATGATTATTGCTGCGTATATTTCGATTAAATACATTAAATCATTGACAAAAGATAATACAGTATTTCGTATAAAAGTATGTTTTAAAATGAATTTTAATCTCTACTTTCACCACCACCACCACTGGATGGCAGACTGTTGCGACATGTGGTGGAGCTGTATTGGACAGTCGAAGTACAACATATTTCGAAGGGGGTGTTCCTATTATTTTGTCCTATACCTGTATATGTTTCGCTCATCTACAAAAAAATTAGAGGGAACATTGGTTCGGATCCTTCTAAAAAATCAATCTTAAGTTGAGGATCAACGAAACTCACAGGCTTACGTAATAAGCATTTTCTTAACAACCCAACAATGTTTTTTATTACCAAATTAAACTATTTCTGAAATCGTAAACTTTTGATTTTTTTCTTGTACAGTAT